CAGTCCAGAGGGACAGTCCACTGTGTGTGGTCAGTCTGACTGTTCTCCCTGGCGGTCAGTCCAGAGGGACAGTCCACTGTGTGTGGTCAGTCTGACTGTGATCCCTGGCGGCCAGTCCAGAGGGACAGTCCACTGTGTGCGGTCAGTCTGACTGTGATCCCTGGCGGTCAGTCCAGAGGGACAGTCCACTGTATGCGGTCAGTCTGACTGTGATCCCTGGCAGTCAGTCCAGAGGGACAGTCCACTGTGTGTGGTCAGTCTGATTGTGCTCCCTGGCGGTCAGTCTAAAGGGGCAGTCCACTGTGTGTGGTCTGTCTGATTTTGCTCCCTGGCGGTCAGTCTAGAGGGACAGTCCACTGTGTGCGGTCAGTCTGACTGTTCTCCCTGTGCAGCTGGGACAGACTGCAGTTTCTCACAACAGGCATCATAGAGTATATTGTTTTATACTGTTTAAAATGAAGTGCTTACCATCAAGAACATTTTTACCTGCTTACTTTTTCACTTTAGACATATAAAACTTGTTAAACTTTTTAAAATTTAATCACACTGTTGAAAGAAACAGATATGGGTGCTCAAAAGATCTGTCAGGAGAATATCTGAGCTGTAAAATGTATAAAATGGTTTAAACCTTTTCTTTAAAAAAAAGGAAGTGTGTAGATTTTAGTTCACAACTGCAGAGATTTTTACTGAAGTCCAGCTGATACTTGGCTTCCTTCAATAAATGGCCGGATGGGATGCTTGCTGACGAGATACTCAACAAGCTCCTAACCCACCCAGTAGTCAGGCTGGCCTTGACTACAGTCCAGCTCGTTAAGAGCCAGAGCCAATTAGGGAAGCGAGGCTCACCTCCAGCTCTCTCAGCCTCTCCAGCAGCTCCCGGCTGCTCTCTGCCTCCAGCCCCTCCAGGGCCGGCTCTTCCTCGCCCTCTCCTGGATCAAAGGCGTCACTGCATGGCCTTGGTTCGGCCTCCTCGGACATCATGTCCTGCACAGATGAGAGGTAGGAGTGGGAGTTAATATAGAGCAGTCAAGAATCAACAACTGCAACAGAAAGCACCAAGATAAATAGGGTTGAATGTGTTTAATAATAATTAATAATTTCTTACACTTATACAGCTTTTGCAAATATTTGCAAAGGGGAAATTTAACCAGGACACCAGGTAACCCTACTTTTTTCAAGAAACACCCTGGGACTTTTAATGAGCACCGAAGAGTCAGGACCTCAGTTTTATGTCTCAGCCGAAGGACAAGGTGACACTGCTGAAGGACAGATGGACCACATGCATTAAGAATTGAGCACTATAGACCTGTAAGGATTATAATTAGATAAGATAAGATCACTTAGCCCTATTATATTTCTATACAATTTCTTGCATTAGGAATTTGTCTTTTCCCATACCCCAGCTTGCTCTCCATGAGACATGAGCTTGGGGTCGGAGCACAGGGTCAGCCATTTATACGGCGCAGGGGTTGAGGGCCTTGCTTAGGGGCCCAACAGAGTGGTATTCCTCTGCCGGCCGCGGGATTTGAACCGACAACCTATCAGCCACAGTAGCAGATCCTTAGCCACCGCTCCGCCCATTAAGAACAAAAGCAAATAACAGCAAAAAAAGATTAAAAGTTCTTGTTTCTTCACACAGTGTTGCAAAAGTATATACCAAAAATATATAAAACAATTTTCTTCACAGGTGCTGTGCAACAGCTAGTTGAATATTCCTAAGATCCTGCAGGTGACCGAGAAGAGGGGAGTGTGGAGGTGCACTTCCTCTCCAGCACTGCAGGGGGCGCCCTCAACAAGCTTTTCCCTCTGGCCGGCCCGATTTTATTTACAAACTCCTGAAGGAGGAATACCGTAAGTATGCAAGAAAATAACGCGCAGCGAGTCTGCAAGAAATCCTTGAAGGATCTGCTAAAAAAATACGTTTTAAAAAAGAAACCTTTTCCCAGTTCAAAAACAAAAACACTCCCCTTCTTCTTCATTCCTACAGTGCAAAAGCCTTCAGTAAAAACAAGCAGCAACTCAGCCCTCAGACCTGGGGCTGTAACCCTGGTTTGAATCAGGCCATCAGGCCAACAGATGTTCTGTCTAGAGATAACATTCCAATAGCTTTCAGTAAAAGGCCAAAGTCTTTTAAATGCCTTTGAGCATTTGTTTTTCAGCACAGGGGAGCAGAAAGTCCATTTGATCATATTACTTGTCATCTTTTCAAATTGTGAAAAATTTTCTGAGGACCCGACTCTGTGACTTAAGGTGAACTGTACAATACCTTGACATTCCTTTGCACAAAAGGCACATTCTAAAAAAGCAAAGGAACAAGTAACGGTTTATTCCCTGCTGAAAAGAGAAGAAATGAAACACAATGTTTCAGCTGTGGAGCCTTCACACCCGGAGAAAACGCTGTGTTTCTGTTCTTCTCTTTTCAGCAGGGAATAAACCGTTACTTGTTCCTTTGCAGCCTATGGATGCTGACACAGCTCCCTACTTGAACTACTTATGAAAAAGCAATCAACTCATCAAGGTCAGAGTTCATCCCAGTGGAACACCAGAGAAGATGAAATACAGACTAAACAGTGAATGCAAAACCAGTTATTTGGATGTTATCTGTGGAAGTCAAATTACAGGCTTGATACTTACTCTGGCAACCTGAAGTGAGGTTTAGGGTTAGACTGCATGTTTTTAGCTCTGTCCCCTATGAAAGACAGCCTGCAGTCCCATGACCACTGTTTTAGGAAACACAATTTTTGCACAATTTCAGAATGTACGTCACATTTTTGTATTCCTCTTCTGGATAATGGCTAGTGGCCATCTGTTGGCTTTTCTGCAATTCCCCCAGCTGTTCTTACTGAACAGTAATTCCCCAGACAAGCCTGTTTTCACTCACTAATTGATTGCTCATCAATAAACTCTCTCCCTCTCTGTGTTCAGCCAACTCAGTTGAAGGGGAGATACGTCTTCGCCCTGCTGTGTGTGGGCATGTGCTTTGCAGAGACCTGCCCTCTGGCTGTACATCCCAGTGGTTCAGAATGACACTGGTATCATGGCGAATAGCTACATGGGTTTCACACTTCACCAGCTTTCTTCTCCACCAACACCAGTTATTGCAGTGGATATCCAGTACAGGGCAACGGTTTTACAAACAGAATTTGTTTTTTCCAGGAGAAAAGAACACAGGAAGAGCAACAAGAAAGGGCAGGATGTGAAGAACCAAACGCTTGTTAGTAGGTGCCTGAATGATCCCAGAATCCTATCAAGCCATCTTTTAAAAGATCTCGTGGTCAACGTCGGCAACATTTTTAAGGACATTTCTGCTCTCCTTTTAAAGAAATCTTCCAAGTTCATTTGGTTTAACAGTGGAGCAAATATGTCATGATTGATGTCCAAATAAGTCATGATTAATTGGGGGTGGTGAGTAGCTCTCTCTCCAAAGTCCTCTAAGCTGTAAGTGTTTTCTCTCACTGTCATGCCATAGAGACACCGGACAGCAGGTAATCAATCCAATGCTCCACTGTGGATCGCTCTACTCTCCTGTCAGCACTCGCCGATCACAGTTTCTGGAACTACTCACACCTGGTTCTCACACCAGGTTTCCTGACAAGTCTCACTGTCTCCTACTCTACTCCACTGGTGTCCCTCTAGGTGTTGTTCTGGGCTCCTTCTGTTGCTCTCGCTCGTATGGCTATTTGGATACTTGTGCTAAAGCACAAGTTGTCATGTCATTGATTTAGTCATGCAGGCTACACAATTTTTTCTCCTATTTACAATACAGAAAAATGGTATAAGGTATAAGATACCCTTGAAAATTACACAAGCTATACAGACAACAAAAACGAGAAGTGTTATTGCCTTGGTAAGGCTGAAAATCAAGACTATGGCTGAACATGGTTTAGGGCAATCTCCATTGCTGGACAAAGCAAAGGTTTGATAATTTTTTGTAAAAAGGTTCATTTAAAAAACAACACCAAGTCACCCTGCACCAAGTCACCCTTTACATTTGATCTTTTTTGGGGGCGAATCAGAACAGGATTTGCTGCATGCTCAATATGTGCAGTCCAGTTTAAGCTAGACATGCTGCCTAGAAACCAGTATTAAAATTCACAGCCCACCTCACCCCACCCCCACATGTACCCCAGCCCCATTCCTGTTGGGATGAAAAGAGGACAGGGGGGAGGTACTTTTTCTGATTTTCGTTTTACAGGGGAAGCCACATTCCCCCTCAGCTGTAAATCAGCAAGCGGCTGTAGCCAGCTGTCGAGCGAGAGACAGGGCCGGTAAATTAAGTCACATTAAACTCCTCGTCAAGTTGTAATGAGCCTATAACGTCTCTCATAGGCTCACAGAGACCATAAACCCACGCAGGCTGACCCTGTCCAGCCCACCAAGCGGAAAGCAGCAGCCCGTTACCAGAGTATGTCGCAGAGTGGGGGCGTCCTTCTGCGAAATGAAGCCTCTTTCTCACACAGTAACACCCCAGAGCTCAGTCTCCCCGGGAATAAACCACTAAACAACAGTACACACTGCCTGTTCCCAGGACTCACTGGTATCGATCAGGAAAGAGAGCACAGCAGATCAGGATCCCTGAAATCCCTGAAATTCCTGAAAATTCTAGATGGATGCGGCCATATGAACATTAATAATAATAATAATAATAATAATAATAATAATAATAATAATAATAATAATAATTCCTTACACTTACATAGTGTTTTTCTGGACACTCCACTCAAAGCTCTTTACAGGTAATGGGGATCCCCTCCACCACCTGGATGATGCGACAGCAGCCAGAGAACACCAGTACACTCACCACACACCAGTAAGCAGACTGATGAAGCCAGTTCATAGATGGGGATTATTAGGAGGCCATGATTGATAAAGTCCAGGGGTAAATTGGCCAGGACGCCGGGGTTACACCCCTACTCTTTTCAAGAAATCCCTGGGATTTGTAATGACAACAGAGAGTCAGGACCTCGGTTTTATGTCTCATCCAAAGGACCGCGCCAGCAAAAACAAGAAAACAACTGGAGGGCAACTGAAGGAAGACAGTGGGTCCAACTTCAGAAGCACGAGCTGACAAATGAGTTCAGACACTGCTTTCATACCATCTGAGACTCTTCCAGATTAGGGCCAACCTTCTCGCATGCACGTTCCAAACACCCAGAAGAGACACTCTGATCTAGACCAAGCAGCCTTTCAGTTTAGGGTTTAACATCTCCCAGACCACACAGTGAAGCGATACAGCATCAATGAAATTCTGGGATGGGGATGGGGTATACAGTACAGGGTCAGATGTAAAACTGAAGTCAAGGAAAATTCTATTCACAATATACAGCGGACATGTTTTCTTAGACAACGATGTGTAGTGTTGTTTTCTATACTACAAAAAGGACTGCTCTAGAAGACTAGAATAGTTCTTGGTCTTGAAGTAATGCCATACATGGACAGGTTAAAGGACATAAATCTCCATCATTTTGAACAGGACTTGACAAACACTCAAACACCTAAGAGGCATTCACAAAGTTAATCCACCAGTCTACTTTTGTATCTACTGAAAAACAAGGCCCAGCAACACAAAGGGAAAATAAGACAGTGCCACTTGGGACCTATACTGCAAGCCCTTCTATACACAAAGTGTGGCAGGAGTCTGGAGCAAGACGATAACTAAATCCTCCGAGAAGCAGCTGGACAAGATCAGATCTGCTACATTAGTCCTAACGAAGTGAGCAATATTTTAAAAATGAGGGGAGGCCATATGGCCCATTGCTCAAATAAAGCAAGCTTGCTTTTTTTCCTTGCAGCTTTTTTTCTGATCACAAGACTATGTTGAGTTCTTCCATGCAGGTTTGTTTTCATGTCGTTAGGCAGTGAACTGTAATTAAGCAATAATAAGATTAACTGCAGTCGAGCGATGCATTCTTTCTCATTTACAATTGTGCTCGCACATGTAGTTGCTTTATCTGCTTCACTACAATGCAGATGTATCTGCTGCC